AAAAGCCTCTATAGATCATTTAATGAGATTTCAAACCTAAAAATAGTCTTCTTAGAAATATAGCAATTCTATCTCCAAATAACATAAGAATATCCAATCAATTTTAGCATCTTAATCATTTATAAACTATTTCCATTCCTGGTATTATTTAGATAGAGTGAAAATCGCCTGCGGCTTTATGTGCTATCGACGATGAAGAACACTCACTTTTCTTGGGCTAAGTCCAAATAATACAAACAAATTGTGCACCTGGTTAGCTGTAAACTATAAACGGTATGACTTATTCATTGGAAATGTCTAAACCGCACACCTCCAGTACTCTAATGACTGACTGGCTGGAACTGCGATGGTGACTGCGACGATCGACTGTGGGTGGGTTGGACTCATTCGGAGCTGCACCAATATTTACAGTTCCACATTGATGGACATGTACAACAATTTGTTTGCCTATTTTGTTGAAATTCTGTTTGGAGCTATTTTTATAACTGGCTTACGAATTTGTAATTTGTTTAATGATTCACTTAGAGACTGAACTGACGCATTTCTTTATGAACTGTGGGAACTTAGGGCCCGCTTACTGACAAGTATTTCTCTTTTATTTCGCCTTTTTTACCACACACACAGTTCCCATATATGAGAGAGGTATTTGTATTGACTTGTATATATAAATCCTGATAAGATTATGGACAAGGGCATTGCCTCGAAATAACTTTGTTCAAACTTGAAAGCACATGCCGTGAAGTGCGGGCTCTATTAATTACCCGTTGTATTATCATACGATAAAGAAAATATTTCATTCAAAAGTGTTTAATTAGTTAATCTTTAATCTTAAAGAGTATTTGGACAGCGCGTGAGCGTTTTAGCTCCATGTTGTCGGGCTATCCCAATCAAATGTTAATTACTTTCAATTTACTAAAAACAAGAAAAGTGCCAGATCTTCAACATTTTACCAAAACAAAAACTTTGATTCTATAAACATATATGTGACGTCACATGGCACTAGGTAAACAGAAAAGTTTATTTTTGTCTTCACTCGTAGATTGAATACCCTTGCAGCCATAATTAAAACAAAACTGAAACTAAATAATGAAAGTTCTATTTTTCACAAGAGAATTATATGATAAAAATATAATAGAGGCAGTGATTGAAAATATGAATCAAAACAAATATCCGAATTATATTCAATTAACGAGGCAATTAATAAAAATTTATTGCAGCAGAAAATTTGTCTAGACATAAGTGAAAATTCTCTCGAATTATGCGCACGGCAACAGAATCGAAGAAAATAAAATACTATTTTTGATCATCTCTCAACTGTGAGATGAAGATTAATTTGAATATAAATTATATCAAGAAAGCTGCGAGTTAAAATTGACCAAACAGTTAAATGATTTTTGAAAACTTACGGAGAAATAAGTCAGAGTTCTAAACTCATTTCAATTATATTCTTTATAACGATAAATAAAACTTTTATGGCCGTCTCAAATCGCCATTTGCTTTTATGTTTGTGTTTTGGCAAATTTCCCAAACATGGCTTTCTTACGTATTAGCAAAAGCCATCTTAAATCATATATATTTTTATGTTGAACTATATATGAATATTTTGGTCATGTACTAAAAACTTTTAGCATATATTGAAAACTGATGACTCAGATATTATTGTTGTTGTTGTTGTTGTCGCATTACCTACTTTCAATAATTTGTGTTGACGCGCGCTGAATGTGTTTTTAGCCCACTAAAGTAGACAGAGCAACAGCAGCAACCACAGCCACAGCCACAGCCACAGACGCAGCAGCAGCCGATTGACAACTGTAAAACATGGCCAAGTATGTACGAATACACACACAAATACATTTACGTATACGGCATGCAAATGACGTAAGCGCACGGTAGCTAAACGCCGCATAAATAGCCAAAACACAGGAGGAGGCCAAATCGGAAAAAGAATAGAAAAAATCGAGAAACAAAGCACACACAAGCACTTGAAATCGCATTGGGCGAACAATTTACAATCAGCTAACAAGGGACACATGATTTATTAGCGGCAAACATTTGCGAAATTACAAAGCTGAAAGCAAAGGCGCACCCACACACACATATACGATATAAAAGAGAGGGAGAGAGACAGAAAGAGAGCCAAGGAGAGCATGGCAAAGCAAGCAAATACAGTGAATAATCGAAATGTTGAAATTTCCATCTTAAGTCATTAAAAAATAATTAAAAAGAAAAAAAAAAATACTAAATTATCAAAATTATTAATTATAATTTTGTATTGAAATTTACATAGCAAAAACATGTTTCCATTTTACAACATGCCAATTGAGGAGCAACCACTTTATAACGTAATGTAACCGCACTACGTAAGCGCCACTCATCAATCAATATTGTCTTCCGGCTGAGCTTTCAATTGATCAACGATCCATGCAAAACGTAAGCTCAACGTAAACGGGCAAGGTCGTTTCATTCCACGTTTCATTCACAAAAACCAATTAGGTTCCGGTTTGAAATGCGAGAGCATAGTATGAGCAACAAGAAAGAGTGAGATGGTGAGTGACCGTGAGAGGGAGAGAGCAAGAACGGGTTCAATGCAAATTGTTTATTAATAGTTTGCGCATTTATTTATTTTGGTTTTTTTTTTTTCTTTTTTTTTGCGTTCTATCACTTCTATTGTTGCACGTGCTTACATCCGCAACAATAACAACTACAACATAAAGTTGCCGCCGACCCGTCGCTGCCGACGCTGTCGTTGACGGCGCTGCTTTGCTTCTCGAGTTTTATTTTAAATTCCTTTTGGTTTTTTATTTTTCTGGTGTTATTTTTGTTCTTTACTTTGCTGCTGCTTTGTGGAGCTTGTGAAGGGAAATAATTTCAATTTTTATTGTAGCTGCATTTTCGAGTGGAAATTCGAAAATGTTTGCAAGCTTTTCTGTTTGGATTTTTGGAGTTAATTTCGGTATTTTATTATTATTAGCTGTGCGCCTTGCCCAATACCGATGAAAACTACATCTAAACAGTAAATCGGACAGGAAATGCGCGCGTCGGTAATATAATTAAGCCAACTTGTAGGTCAAAACGTGGCTGGCAGGCGGAGCGGGAGCTATTTTGTGTTGCAATAACGGTAAGTGCATACACAGACACATAATCATTCAAAAGCTCACGTCTCTCAGCGACAGCGGATGAGTGAGTAATTGAGAAAGTGTGGAGTAGGAGAGAGAGGAAGACGAAGACAGAGTGAGATCGGTGACAAATTCCAAATGGCCGACAAATTAGTTGCAGTTTTAAATGGCGACTTCCGTATAATCAGCGAAAGAACCAGAAAAACATTAGACAAATTTGCACATTTAATCAAAGACAATTGAATAATTGCGTGTATAACATAACTGGAGTACAGACAGAGCCGGACAAGAGCTACACTTGGCAATACCCTATAACAAGTATTTAGATAATCTAACATAATAGAAAATGTATACCAAAGTTGCACGCGTAAAAATATTACGATTTATTTACCTACAAGGTATACATTAACTCTAAGGAAAACCCATGAGGGAAAATCAAGTAACCGTAAGATATCTAATAAGAACAATAAATATATAAATATTACGTTTGACTAGCTCAACTATTCCCGTTATTCCTGCGACTCCTATTGAAGTACAGGGTATTTATTATATATCAGAAGGAAACAAATACCTATTGAAGTACAGGGTATTTATTAACTATCAGAAGGAAACAAATACCTATTCAAGTACAGGGTATTTATTATATATCAGAAGGAAACAAATACCTATTGAAGTACAGGGTATTTATTAACTATCAGAAGGAAGCCAACACCTCCACACTCACTCGCACACACATACATCTATGTGTACTTAGGATAGTTGCTCTCTTGCCTTCAGGGGCGGCGGCAGGTGTGCGAGAGCGAGACAACAACAGTGCAGTGCCTAAGACAATTGTCAAGTGCTGCCTGCCACGCTGCTTGTTCTGCTTGCTGTTGTTCTTGTTGTTGTTTTTGTTGTTGTTACTGCACTTCCTACTAGGAAATTCTATAGAAAAATGTGCAGACGACGACAAACACCGCACACCGCTTCCCAATGCAGTCGGCAAGTGTCATTTGAGACGCACACACAAACACACATGGAAACACATGCACACATACATAGCGCTGAAGATCTGTGCAGCTGTCGCCGTTCATATATGTGTGTATGCGTGAGCATTTTATGCTCTTTTTATTGTATGCAGCAAAATGCATAAAATCAGAGAGCAAACAAACAGCAGCTGTCGCAACAGTAAAACTTAAACTCCATTTCCAGCCGAGAAGAGCGAGGGAGATGGGGCGACGTGGCCTGCACCCCATGAACTTTTGTGCTCAATAATCCACTTGCCAAAGTGCCTGGACAATAGCAACAAAAATTCAAGAAAAGATGAAAATTGCATAATGCTGCCAAAACGCCATTTGGCAGCCAGCGGCAAATCAATTTAGCTTGATTAATGCAAAACAGCAGCAATCGCAGCAGCGCCCTCTGGCGTCGAATTGTGCCAAATTACAGCATTCTCAGTCCCATTGGAATGGATCATCATCATTATTTATTTATCATATGCTTATTCATCTTTATTTGCTGAAAACTGCGGGTGGTTAATTTTTGCGCATTTCCACAATTTTTCCCAATTTTTTCGCCCACCTATGGTGGCATTCAACAAAAATTTGTTGAGTTTTGGTAATGCGGGAAATTTTTTCCCTTTGCTACCTGCCAATAGCGGCTATTTGTGTGCGTGTGTGTGTGGTAGGCGTGGGAAATGCAACTTTCCGAAAGGAAGGAAGAACAAAAATTGCAATTGTCGTCGGTGCAAGGACGTGTGAAAATGCGCAAATGACAGGAAACGTGAGCGTGCAGACACCCCGTAGCTTCCAGCCAATTCCTGGAATATCGTCCAACTAACTGACAGACTTCCAACATAATTGAGACATAGCAAATAAGTAATAACCGTAATAGTGTAATACGCACCTTTGTTTTTGCCTTTGGAAGAGCCTTTCTCGTTTGCACAGTGAGCGCGTATTCCAGCAGCTTCCCCGTTGATCGAAGACAACAACGTAAACGTATAGAAAGAAATAAAACTTTCGACTGACAACACAAGAAATTGTCAAAATTCCTTAAACACTGACGAAAACACACTCACTCGCGAATATAACGTATGAAAGAGTGAAGCACCTGAGAGCTTTTGGCTATTGCTCTTAAGTCGTGCGAGTGTTTGAAACTCGTATTTTACTTCTTTTTATTTATTTACTTCTCTTTCTACTTTTGTTGTTGTGTTGAGTTGCCGATTTTTCACACTTTTGTTACGCTTTAGCCGTTTTTCTTTGATGCAACATAATTATTTATTTTCTTTGGGAGTAGCCACACATTTTATTTATTATAAATGCTTTTGAGCTCCCACACACGCAAACACTCACACACGGGCACGCACACACACACTGAAACATGTACGCACCGCGCGCTCTTTCTCTTTCGCTCGACGGCGCTGCAAACACACATAGACAGAATATTCATTCACGATACGTTTACGATACGTATAAATGATCTGCGCGCTCGCTCACACCCATGGGGGCGAGAGCAGTTTCAGCGGCTGCTGCTGTTGTTGTTGTTATGGTTGGATATTGTCTGTCTGTCTGGCGACTGTGGCTGCGGCTGCGGCTGCTGTTGTTGAAGAAAATCCAAGAAAAAATAATACTAGTATATGAAGTGAATGCGACCGTAAAGCAAAGACGCACAAAAGTAATTAACACGAAAAAAATGAGTGTTGTTGTTGTTAATGCGCTTCTCGCAGTCGAAATTCTTATTCTATACTTTTCGCTATTAAGCATAAAATTTTATTCAATTTTTCTCCTTTTTCTTGTTGTTGGCTTTATTCAATTTTTCATCGTTTTATGATGTCTTAGACGATGTCTACCTGTGCCAGCGCTGCCGACGCCGTCGCTGCTGCTGCTGCTGTTTTACGTTGAACAAGCATACAAAAACAACACACACACACACGAAACGTAAAGTGGGCAAAAGCAAGAGCCAAATACGATACGCTGCGGAACGAACGGAACCCGTATATATGCACGCGCTGCTCGCATTTGGAAAGGCACTCGAGATTACACGTCAATTGCACATAACGTGCAGCTCATATGAATTTACAATTTTATTTGTTACTTGATTTTGTTTTGTTTTTTATTATTATTTTTTAGTTCGCTTTTTTCGTTTGCGTGTTGCATTTGATTTCGATTTTTAATTGCTACTGCGGATTTTTTTCACTGTGCCACAAAACCCACTCGCGTTACGCGTTACGTTATGAACGAAAGACAAGCGTTTTATCTGCTTGACAGCGACAATCTGAGTACAGTGTGACTGTAAACGGCTAACATGAAAATGAGAGCCGCACATCGCAAAATACCAAAACAAATGCGCAGGGTAGTGCGTTAACAGACTCTAGATTGCGTTAACAGACTACATATACAAGTGCTGCCCATAAATGAGAATTGTTGAACAGTGTAAGCGGTTTCAGTGGCCTGAGGTTTTTGCGCAAAATATTAGCTCTATTTATAAATTTAAATGTGTGGAAATATCAAAAGTAAATAAAGGTTTAAATACCTGAATTAAATTGGGTTGGGACTAATTTTCTTTCTGCACAAAAATGGATTACTTTTTTAAAATGCTATTAACAGCCTGCAACAGGCTGACACATTTTAACATTTCAAATAAACGAAAAGTATTTTTGGTATTATTATTAACAGCCGCAACAGGCTGACATATTTATGGGCAGCACTTTTCACTGCGATAACATGTGTTTTCAACACGCGCTTTGTTTTGTTTAAATAACAATAAACAAAGTCGTTGCAATGGGTGTTCGCGGCTTGACCAGTTACATAGCGCAACGTGCCGAGATCTACCTGAAGCCGTACGAACTGCACAACACCTCTCTCGTCATCGATGGCGACAATCTGGCCTGCAATCTCTACAAAGATGTGACCGGCAGCTATTCGGCTTTTGGCGGGGATTACGACGATTTCTACAGAGCTGTGCTGCAGTTCTTCCGTGTACTCGCCGAGTGTGAGATACGCGCCTATGTCCTCATGGACGGCGGGTACGAGGAGCGGAAATTGCGCACGGTTGGCAAGAGGTTGAGAGGAAAGATCTCCGTCATCAAGAAGATAAATCCATGTGATTCTATTACACTCTTCCCGCTGCACCTGAAGGAGGTGTTCGTGGATGCGGTGCGCGACTGCGGCGTGCCCGTCATGCGCTGTGTCTTCGAGGCGGACGACGAACTGGCCGCCCTCGCCCGCAAGCTCAACTGCCCCGTGCTGTCCTACGACTCCGATTTCTATATCCACAATGTCAAGTATATTCCCCTGATTACGCTGACGGTGAGGGTACTCACAAAACGGCTGAAGGAGCAGCCGCGCGATCGCAGCCTGCGCCGGCACGAGGTCAAGCACGTGGCCAAGCGCACCAAGGCGAATAAGATTCTCTCCGCCATTACAACAACACCAACAGCAAATGGAACGGCCAAATCGGAGAAATCTTTCAAGACCTATAAATACTTGGACTGCTGCATTTATCGCGTGGAACATTTGTGTGGGCGTGGCACACTCAGCGCCGAGAAGCTGCCCCTCTTCGCAGCACTACTGGGCAACGATTATATAGCACGGTTTGTCCCGAACATTATTTAATATATATATATGGACTGCTGATTCCAATTCGTCTCCTCCTGCAGCTCTGCATTCAGCAACTTCTTTGCAGTGGGCATGGGCAAGGCGGGCCGCAGCCGCAAGCTGAAGAAGCAACAGCGACGCATTCGCATTATCCTGCAGTGGCTGCGCGATCAAACGGCCGAATCGGCACTGGAAAAGGTGCTATCCCGGCTAAAGAAGGTGAATTTGGATGATGAGATTTATGTCTATATGTGGAGCGTAAATGAAGGTCTAAGGGGAGACTAATCGACCTTTATTCTTTCTTATTCAATTATCATTCTCATTATATATCTCTCTTTCTCTCCATTGTAAATTTAACTCAAATTCATTCGATAATCTTGCAGTCACAGCGCGATTCCTTGGTATCCCAAGTGCAGGCAGCCATTTCAGGCTATTCGAATGAGCTGTGCCATGCCTACGATTTCTTTGACAGGCACTACGATAATGCCTTTCCATATACTGAGCCAGCCAGCGAGCCAGAAGATGATGATGAGGAGGAGGAGGAGGAATCCACTGATTTAACTGAGGAAAGCTCTGAAGAGGAGGAGGAGGAGCAGCAGCAGCGAGATGATAAAAATGGTGAATCACAACAAAAAGATGATGATGACGATCAGGAGGAGGAGGAGGAGGAGGTTGAAGAGCAGAGCTTGGAAGACACGATAGAAGATAAAACACTGCTGTTTCCGCAATGGTTCCTCGACAAGCTCTATCCCGCCACGCTCCCGCGCTACTTTGTGGACTTGATGCATCTGCGCAAATACATCAACAACCCGCAAATCGAGCATTTTCCCTACCATGATGCGAATGCCTTGGCGCTGCCCATACTCAATTACATCTTCGCCCTGCTGCACCATGTCGAAGGGGAGGAAACGGAGCGGCCGGTGGATGCCCAGGGGCAACCTGTGCCCATTGAGTTTACGTATTTGACGCGGGCGCTGCGCGTTACGAACGTTCGCTACTATCGCCAGCCGATTGAGAAAGCACCCGCCCATCCCTTTGTGCCGTCCCAACCGGATGCAGTTCATCTGCGCGCCGTCTTTGAGGCCTTTGTGCCGCATGCCAATGTGACGCAGCTATTCGAGCAATTGGAGCTGTTGCCTTCGGATTTGCAGCTTTATTTCCTGGCCATTGTCTACTGGCTGCACAGGTCGGAGCACTGCGACATGCTCCACTTGCATGCGCTGCTCATCTGCCTCGTCGTGTTGCGCACCGTGGACGTGACCATCCCAGCCGAGCGGGATCCCAAGGACTTTCAGCAGCGCTTTGGCAAGATCTTGAAGCAGGAGCGTGCGAAACGTGATTCGGAGGCAGCCGCAGGTGTGAAGCGTGACATCAAGCCCGCCCTGTTGGAACTGCCTGTGCCGGAGCGCATGGCACATGTACCGAAGTCCGATTGCTTCCTGGTGCAGGAGAAGCTCCTGCCACACTTTCACATGCAGGAGATCTTCAAGAAAAAATACGATTCGTACTCGACGATCGTCCTGCACTCGTTCGCCGAGTTCCAGTCGGTGGTCTATCAGCTGAATGGACTCAATGCGCTGCTGGATCAGCCACTAAGCAGTCCACGCATGAATCGCCTCTACTGCGGCGCTTTCATTTATAATCTCTACGATTTGCTGCGCAATCGGATTGATGTACGCTACCATGTGGAGCACTTTCTCCTGGCGGATTCCCGTCTCATGTTCGACTTCTATTGCTATCTGTTTGATTGGTGTGCGCCCTTCGTGCCCAGCTGGAAGCTGCAGTCGGAGGTAGACCAGGCAGCAGTCAAGGCTGCGGAAAAGAAGCGCCTGAAGAAGCAGCGGCAGGCGGCACGCAAAGCGGCAACTGCTGCGGATCCAGCGGACCCCAATGAAGAAATGTTGCAGAAAACGGACAACGATGACGACGAGTTTTTCGATTTAAACAACAAATTCTGTGGATTAAAAGTTTAGGAATGTTATTATTAAATTCCCGTGCCAGATTGAAGCAAATTGGCCAATATTGGTAAGTTCTATGTAAATTGTTGTTTACATATTGTGTGAGAAGATATGCTTAAATACATCTTTAAATCTGTAACGATAATCAATCGATTGTAATATAGCATAGTATAATACTACAATAAAATCAAATCATGATTGTTACATTTTAAATACCTTTTGGGCATATTTTATTTACATTTTTAAAATTCTGCGCCAACACTTCACTAATATTATTTCGATTAGAGCTATCGAAAAGTAGTGAGCAATATATCGGCTATTATTAACAGCACTGTTAAGTGAATGACACTTCAAATTTTTGTAGAGCAATTTTAATTCAATGAAAGTGTAATAGAAACAATAAAACTGTCTTATCGGCTGCTTTTCAAATATCGCCCAAAATTAAACTTTAATTTAATTTGATTTGTTGTATATCATTTGAGTAAACAAATTAACAGAGAATGTCCAACACCACAGGCATACAAGCAAGTGGCTGTCATACCAGCATAACGCCAACGCGTCGACTGCGCAGCTGACGACGCTGCGAGCACAGTTTTGTTATCGTTGTAATCAGCACACACGAAAAATAAAACAAGCCAACTAAAACAGTTGCTACGAATAGCAGACGAGACAAAACAATTAAGCGATTAGCTTAACAATTACACTGCCAACAAGTAAAGCAAAATCAATCTGTTTTTTCCGCAGCCCTGGCAACAGCATTAGCCAAAACAAAGACAAAGCTGAAACGAAATAAAAACACAACGTCATTTGGTCAGCGACTGCGGCAGTGAAAGCGGTCAGAAGCAGCGCGGCGCTCAAATCGGAAGGACGGAAGGAGTTAATGCTGGTTAGCCTGTACGCACAGCTACAACGCGGCATGGACAGCGTATTCGAGGCGTACCTCGGCCCGGACGGCGTTTTAGCTGGCGCTGTGGGCGAGATCGAGGATATACCGAAACGCAATACAAATGTTTGGCTTCTGGGCAAGCGCTACAATGCCATACAAGGTGAGCGGAATATAAATATGGTAATACAGTGAAGAGCCGCTTAAGTTCATAACAATTCAATGTCGAGGAAGCGGTTTCACCAAGCGCAGTCTTCACTGTATAACTTTAAGTACATATTGTACTACAAATATGTACTCTTGCCCTTCTAGAACTGGAGCCCATCAGACGTGATATCCAGTCCCGCCTGTGGTGCACGTATCGTCACGGATTTGTGCCGCTCGGCGAGGTGCAGCTGACCACCGACAAGGGCTGGGGCTGCATGCTGCGCTGCGGCCAAATGGTGCTCGCCCAAGCCTTAATCGATCTGCATCTGGGTCGGGACTGGTTCTGGACGCCCGACTGCCGAGATGCCACCTACCTGAAGATCGTCAATCGATTCGAGGATACGCGCAAGAGTTACTACTCAATACATCAAATTGCCTTAATGGGCGAGTCGCAAAACAAAGCTGTGGGCGAGTGGCTCGGACCCAATACAGTTGCCCAAATACTCAAGTGAGTGAGGATGATTGATGGACTGACGAATGAGTCAGACCCATAGATTGAGTGATTGACTCATTGACTGATGATAGCCTATGGATGATTAGGAAGAGACAGTTTAAGAAAGTGCATTGGTAACTGAACTAATTGAGTGATTGATTGATTGAATCGCTGATGATTAGGAATAAACTTTATTACCCAAAGCTGTATTTACTTATAAGGCAATCTAAGAGAAAGATCTGTTTAACTAAACTAATTGGTGAATTGTTAAGACAATCCGTGGACCAAATACTCAGAAAGTGGATTAGAATTGAAGCCTCAGACTGAATAGTGTTACCCAAATATGTAATAACGGCTTATAAGATAATTTAAGAGCTCTATATATATATCTCTATTTAACACTGAATGATTGACTGATTGATATCAGATTAACTATTATATTTATCTGTCATATATTGTTTTGATTTCTCACAGAATCCTTGTGCGCTTCGACGACTGGAGCTCGCTGGCCGTGCACGTGGCCATGGACAGCACCGTCGTCCTAGATGACATATGTAAATATGCAAAAATCCTCATTTGGCAACCTTACTAATTTGTTCTACCTTGCAGACACCTGTTGCCAGGAGTCCAGTGAGTCGTCGTGGAAGCCATTGCTGCTGATTGTGCCGCTGCGGCTGGGCATCACCGATATTAATCCCATTTATATACCCGCACTGAAGCGCTGCTTGGAGCTGAGCAGCAGCTGTGGCATGATTGGCGGCCGGCCCAATCAGGCGCTCTACTTTCTGGGTTATGTGGACGACGAGGTGTTATATCTGGATCCGCATACGACGCAGCGAGCCGGTGCTGTGGCACAAAAGACAACGGCGGCCGAGCGAGAGCTGGACGAGAGCTATCATCAGAAATATGCGGCACGCTTGAGCTTTGGCGCCATGGATCCCTCGCTGGCCGTTTGCTTTCTGTGCAAGACGCGCGACAGCTTCGAGGAGCTGCTGCAGCAGCTGCGCCAGGACGTGCTCACCCTGTCCACGCCGGCGCTATTCGAGATAAGTCAATCGCGTGCCGTCGACTGGGATACGGCGGATGACATCGAATGGCCGGCCATGCCGGACATTGATTGGCCCGCCAGCAGCGACTCGGAGCCGTTCGCCTTAGTGGGTGAGTGTTAAACGAAAGCTCACTCAATTTCCGTCTCTTATCAATGCGCTCCAATTGGCAGGCAACAGCAGCGACGTCGACAGCAAAGCCCGAGAGAGAGGCGGCGACTGAGAGAGAGCGCCACAGAGAGCAGCGACTGCGCCCTGCTCTGCGTATATATATATGTATATACATTTATATGCAATATATATATATATAGTTAAACCTGTACGAAATTGGAGCAACTGCTCAGCTGTGCAGCTCAAGCGGATGCTGCGGCTGACTGAATGGCTATAAACTATAAGAAATCTAGTGTTAAGTTTTTTAGCTTGTTTACGATTGAAAACACATATATAAGTGAATAATTATATTCATATATATATATATATATATTGCACATATATATATATATATTTCATATGCTGCTTTATTGTACGTTTCATTGACTCCACGGGAGACAATTTAATACACACACACACATATACACCTACAACACACACAAACAAACGCCATGTTTATGCTTTTTGTAAGAATGAAATGAATACAAACTACCTTATTAATTGATTAAAATACCATTTTTTATATGGAATTTCAAAAGTAGTCCGAACAGTTGTTTCCTTTCTTGATATATATATATATATATATATGTATGTATGTATGTTAATGTATATGTTGTATTCGTATAATTCGTATGTGTATATAGTAGTATATATATATATGTTCAAAAAATGGACCAACAACTAAATACATAATACTTGGACTAAATTGTGTCTATGTAAATTTCACTAGATTTTAACACACATTAAACTGGTTTGAGTTTTTGGCTAAAATTTGTTGTATTGTATCAAAATTGAGACCTTATTTAATGGCATATTATGAGATGTATGGAGCATTTACTAAATTTTCTTTTATACTATTAATTATTATTGTTATAGACATATGAATTCGTATTTTTATTGTTGGATTTGAAATTTTATGTCGAGCAAATTTATCTAGATTTTTTTTTTTTAATTCAATAATCGAAAACTCGAACAATATCTTAGCTTGGTTTGTATATATTAAAAGTTGATTTTAACTACATTTTATTTTATGTAATTGATTTTTTAAATGTTTTTCAAATTTATTGAAAAACGTTCTTGAAGACATTCATTTCATTCAGTAGATCCAAGATTTTTTGTAGCATTTTTCGCAAAGTTAATTTCCTAGTTATTCCGCCCTTCAATTTTCAACAATTTTCTTGGGTCTTTACCAGTCTAATGTGCATATTGTTTACATATCATAATTAGCAATATTCCTCCATACAAATAATTAACAGTTTACATAACTCAGAACCTAGACGCAAATAAGGAACTTCTCAGCTCTTTCGCTCTACTCTAATAACAAGAAACACACATAACTTTTGCTTGGCTGCCGTTGCTGGGCTCTCAAATTGACGCTAATTATTAAACATTACTCATTAGTCATTAGTCATTAATCGTTAGTCATTATGCATTAAATATTATAATTAATTGTTAAATTTAATTGAAGCTGTCTACAGTATGCAGCATTGGCGTTCGATGCGCTTCTCCGGCTTTGGCTCCATTTGCAGCGCCATCTCCACGTGCTTGCGCGCCAGCCAGGATTGCTTCTGCAGCCGGTTGACTATGATGCGATAGGCGCCAATGATGTCGGATCTCGGGCCGCTGGGCGTGGCTGCTATTAGCATTTGGGAGGTGACGCCCAGCTCGGCGAGCAGCTGCCTGGCCTCGAACTCCAGGGGGCACAGCTGGCTGAGATCGTCCGTATTGGTGGGCAGCATCACACAGCTGCCCGTCTCGGCGTCGTAGTTCTTGAAGAGCGGACAATCGTCGGCCACCTCGATGCTCCACTGGCTGAGCTTGGCCGTCGGCCCGCCGTTCGAGAGCTGCTTCTCCGGCTCCGTTTCAATGGGCGTTATCTTTTTCTTCAAAGTGCCGCAGAAGAGATACCGCCGCCCGGGCCCATTGCGCTTGGCCGGCTCGCCGTTCGCCTCCAGCTCCTTGGCATGTATCCCGGCGGCTGCCTGCTCGTGGCCCAGATCGATGGGATGCAGAAAACTGTGCGTAAACAGCTCATCCTGCTGCCTTGTATTCATGCTAATCGCCGGCTTCTTCACCACCTCCGCGTACCGCTCCCGCAACGAGGCGCTCTTCCGCAGCCGCTGCGACTTGCGCACCCAGAATACGGAGCGCTTGGCCGGCTTGCTATGCAAATTCAATTCGAGCTGCATCAGCTCAGCGCTCAGCTTGGGGCACGTTACAAACTGACTGTTCAGTATGTCGTCTATGGTGGGCCGCTGGGCGGGCACATGGATTAAGATTCGCTCTAGAGAAGGAGAGTGAAAGAGAAAGAATTATTTACACTTGTGAAGCATTAGCTAGGATCGTAGGATAATAGGACAAGAGGATAATAAGACAATGGGATCATAGAAGTATAGAAATATATAGGACTATGGGACTACACGACCATCGAATCACAGTACCGTATTATGGACCATAGTAGTATACAATCCAACACAATGAGAAATACTTACGAATTAGTCTTATGCAGGGCAAGCTTAGCTGGCCAGGCAGCAGATAGTCGCCCTTGAGTATGGCTGCCTTGAGGCCCGGTATGGTGGGTGCACGAAATGGCATATTGCCGACGACCATAAAGTAGAGCAAAATGCCCAGAGCCCAGACATCGACGGGAGCGCCTATGTAATGGTCGTCGGAAAAGAGCTCCGGTGCCGCATAGGGCGGCGAGCCACAAAATGTGTCTAGCTTCTGATTGGCACCTAATCGAGCATTGGATGAGCATTATTGAGTCAACGTACGGGTTATCACTGACTGCGATTAAGACTTACCATTGATGAGCTGTGTGCTGAAACCAAAGTCCGCTAGCTTGAGGCGATCCTCCGAGAGCAGCAGCACATTCTCCGCCTTGATGTCGCGATGCACATAGCCCAAGCTATGCTGCAGTGGAGCATTTAGAAGGGAGGCCTTGTTTAATTTGAACAGCTTTGATTAGCTCAGATTGATCTCACCATGTGCTTGACGGCGAGCAGCAGCTGCTTGAAGAGCGGCGCAGCGTGTATCTCGCGCAGCGGGCCACCTTGGGTGATGTGATTATACAGCTCCCCACCGCGTATCCACTCTGTGACCAGATAAACACGACCCAGCGTCTCAACCACCTCAAAGAGCCTGGAAGGAATTCGAATTCGAGATATGCTCCATCAAGCAAAGTCTCAGCACTCACCTCAATATGTTGGGATGATGAACACACTCGAGCGTCGCTATCTCGCTCGATAGCATGCGCAGAGCCTTGGCATCGAGGCCAGCTCGATCCAAGTCAACTACCTTGATGGCAACCTTGTCTGCAAGTTGGATTGAATTCTTATTATAGATGGGGATCATCAATCATTTATATATAATTAGCAGAGACTTACCTCGTGTCAACTGGTGCACGGCCAGCTTGACTTTGGAGAAGTTGCCGCGTCCGATGTCGCCACAGAATCTGTAGAGGCCAATGCGACGGCCAATTGTTACCTGGTTGAAGAAGGTCAGAATATAACAAATATATTTTCAGGGTTTCAAGATATCGAATAGGGTATCGTTATACATATTTTGGAAACATTTATCAATTGTAACAATAAGTATTTTTTTTTTTTTTTTAACAAAACTAATATTCATTATTCTTAAATTGATTTTGATTTTTGTTTTTTTACTTAAAAAGAAAGGATTTATATTCGTAAGGCATTTTGAAGAATAAACTTCTTTAACAATATTTTTGTTTAATTTTTATCTATAAACCATTTTGTAATTTTTTCAATTAAGAAAAAAAAAACAATTTTAATAGCTCAATAAAGTGAATGCGAATTATTTACTCAATTTTGTAAGTATTTTTTGTTGTTGTATTTATAATTTAATCAAAGTTTTAAAAAAAGAAAACAATTTCTAATGTATTTACTTTTAGTTATTATTATTATTATTATTATTAGTATTATTATTTTATTTATTTTTTTAATTATATGTTTGTAAACTGGCAAATTATTTAAGCAAAACTTGTTTTTTTTTTTTTATTGGAATAATTACTTAGATTTTCGAAGTTTTAATAATCATTTTATAATTTCAATTACAAAAATGGTTTACTGTTATAAAAGAATAATCTTATTACGTTTATTCTTTTATTCTGAGATGCATAAGCTACATGGAGCTAAAAAGAGCTTTGCTTTAATAGCATATTTATGAATATTCTGATAAGATCTTATGCCAAGACCACATCTAAATTTCAGCCACACAAGCACAAATGCTGACTGAGCTGACATCTCCGACAGCTGAAGGCAAATATTTTTCAAGAGCTCTCTGGCAACTTGAGTTAATAAAAAAAATAAAAGGCAGCTACGATTGTAATTGACTTACTAATGCAATTACAAGGAATTTGACAAATGTCTCAAATGCAATTCGTCGTATAATCAATTTAGGCGAGGGTCAAGTGCAAACACACATACAAATACACACACACACACTCACGCACACTCATTTATGACATGGTATGTGGGATTTTTGAGTGAGCTCAAGCTCATTTGCTTAGGCGGGCTTATGGTTAGCCAAGGTCAAGCCGTTCCACAATTTGGCTAAATGTAATTGGAGCAGAGTGCGGCTGCTTTTGTGTTTGGCGCTTTTCTTAAGCCACAATGTCAGACCGAGCAGCCACAGCGGCAGTTGCAGTCGCTGGGCCAACGTTAATTAACGCCGTGCAGTACGTACGGCGTATACGTAATGCGGCGGAATTACATTTGCCACACGCGCATTTCGTATGCACACAAAGCGACGACAAACAACAGCAACAAAGCCAAAAGCGATGAATGAGCGCAGGCACACACCCGCACATACACACACACACACACACCCAAACATACACACACACCTGCACCAACACACACAAACACATAGTCTGCCTCTGTTCATGGGGGCGAAAGAAAATTAGCCTTGAACCACCACATAATTGCAGCGCTGCCGCAGCGACGCCAACGTCGACGCCGACGGCAACGGCAACGGCAGCTGTTTGGTTTGTGCATTGGCTAACTCAGCTTAGACTAGGGTCACGGTCAATTGGTTTGCAGGGAGATTATAGCATAATCGTATCATTACTATTAATATTATTAAAATTAGCAAACTTTTGTTTATTGGGATCCACTGATAGTACTCTAACGCAAACTAGAAGTTATTTTAGATATGCGGCATTTACCTAAAGCCTTCTGTTTATGTTATTCAAAGTCAATAGAGAAATTCTGCCTAATTGACTCAATCCAAATATCTATTTTTGACCTTGTTATATGTATACATAATATGTAAAGTGTATATATAAACAAAACTATTTGTAACTTTATTAAAATAGAATTTGTTTATAGAGCGGCCACAACTGTTTACCATTAGACTTCTAAATCTAAGTTGCTTCGGGCTTAGCTAAATTTTGTAGGACTACATTTAGGCTCCTTCAGATTAATTAATTTGATTGACTAATTTTATATTTTAATAATTTTTTGTTGTATATTTTTATTGATTAAATTTCATATATTTATTGTATTTTTATGATTTTAAATATATTTATAAATTTAACTAGGCCCACCCCATTTTCGAAATTTAAAATAAAAAAGGACTTCTCGTAAGAAAGTTTTCTATTATAACAATAATATATGTATGTATATTATATTCAATAATATTCAATATATTCAATTGAGTACCATATACTATAATATTCACTTGAAGTTTGCAAGTTTTTCTTGCCACCCTCGCATAAGCAAAACTATTTACAACTTGAATAAAATGTGCGCCTTTGCCAGTGGAACTTATGAAAAGTTTTATTTATCCGACGGACACAACTCTATTCTAATCAATTTCGCTCCTGGCTGTGACGTCAGCTACAAACAGAGGGCACAATCAACGGCCAACCACAATCAAACCCGAGCGCAACCACCCAAACCACCCAAAACCACCCAAAACCACCCGAAGCCAACCATCAAAGTTGGGTGACCGCAGGCTGAAGCTGAACTCTTTATTGGCACTCACCTCGTGTCCACATCTGGGATCGCATTGCAACGCTGTGGTCAGCCGCTGATAAGGCGGCGTTGGTGCTGGCGGCTGACAAATCGTCAGCGGCGGCAGCGGCGTCGACAGCGGCGTCAACTGCGTCGCTTTCACAGTAGCTGAACTGCGCAACGTATTGATATCCACGGCTGCCGTTTTGCTGCTGTCTCTGTCTCTGCGCCTGGGAGGGAGTCAGTCAAAAGGGCGTTGATGGCAACTTGTTGGACGCGTCGTTGTCGGCGTCAGCGTCGGCTTCGGCCTCTAGCTGAAGGGTGTGTGTGTGTGTGTGCGTGCCTGCTCCCAAGTGCTGTTACCAACTACTCTGCCTATTCAGTTGGCTTTTGTTGTGCCAGTTGGCGCTTCAAATGCCCAGTTTGTTGTGTTTGCCTCGCTTCTTGGTTGGCTGCCCAAGTGTTGCCTTACATCATAAGGACTTGCGTTGAGATCTGAAGGCAAATTAATATACATATATATGTGGTAAGGTCATACGTACAACAAAGTATTATTAGTTATTTGGAAATGTAAACTTAATCCGAAAGAGTTCAACAAAATTTAATTACTTTTAACCAACGCAGGTAAAATCCTTGGAAAATTTAATATTTTATAAAAGTAATAAAAACAATTGCTAATGAAACTAATCAAATTATGCTGATAAAAAAACCTTGAGCACAGATATTTGATTTCATATTTAATTGGATTTGACGGACACCCGCTCGAACAGTTTCCGAACTGTCTAATAAAGGTCATAACTGTTTTGATATTCTGCAATAATTGAGGACAAGAGCTTAAGGGCACAGACATTGCGAAAGTTTCGCCGGCCCCTCCGTAATCAATATGCGTGTGCAGCGCCGCCTCTATCTAATTAGGATGGGCCGACGACAGGACGGGGACTAAGGAGTTTTGGTGGCAAGAGAAAAGGCGTGGCGAGAAAAGATTTCCAATAAAGCAATAAGCAATGCTGTGTCATAATTTAATAATAAAAGGACTCAGCTGAAAGAGATGTTGGCTAGCAATTTCAACTCTTCCATAAAATATATGGCCAAGACCCAAGTGGCAACCTTAGGGGACGCTCAGCGCGGCAAAAGTTAACTTGAAGTAATTACGTAAATGGATTTTTCTGCGTTGCTCGAATTTCCTGCACGTCCTCTCAAATGAAACACAGACAACAATAACAACAAGAGCGGCAACAACAAACTTGAGCAACAACAGCAGTAACAATCATGTTTATATGGCTGATGCCCTCGAAGCGTGACAGGAAGTTGCGAGGGAAGGAAGCTAGCAGAAGGCGAGCTCTAAAAAAATGGCCAACAATATTTCAACTATAAACATTTTTAAAATATTATAGGGACGCAGGAATAGAGGATGCCGCAAACTTTTTATGACAACTGTGCGACAAGTGACGTAATTCATATGATTGACTGACAGCCGGCCCGCAACGAGCTATTGCGGTTAGAGACCGGTCAGAGTGTGAGAGGATCTACAGTTGTGGTTGTGGCTATGGTTGTGTTTGTGGTGGGGCGCATAGATTTGTAGGCGTGTCAGCAGCAGCTACAGCCACAGCAACAGCTTCAAGTGTGCGTGCAATTAGATTTACATTCACACTCACATTCACCATCGCATTTCCATATACACAATTCCATTTACATTTCCAGATAGCGTCGCAGCAGCCGTTGGCATTTTTCCCCGGCGCTCAAAAGTATGCAACAATTTTTTTGCGTTGTACTTATCAAACATGGCGCAGGCAAAAGCACTCGAATGTAATTGCAACTGTGTGTGTGTGTGTGAGTGCGTTGAGTTTACCTTGAATGTTTCTTTTGCCACTCGACACTGGAGCGCATACATTTGCATGCTAATGCTACCTGATCCCCCTCCCTTCCCTCTCTCTCTTCTTCATACCGTTGCTTCACCTCTCAGGTGCTTGTGCGTGCTGCTAGAATTACACTTTTAATTACAAAACTAAACATGAATGCATTTTGATATCAAACGAAAACCGAGACTAGGCTCACTGATGTCTGCTGCATGCGCAAGGGGGGAGGGGGAGGGGTGTGGCAGCCATATCTACACTAGTTACCAAAGAGATGAATGCTTCGACTCAGTCTGCAAAATGGGAGCAATGGGATATACTACACTTAGACTGGTCACATGTGGGTCACACATAATTAAGTGCGCACAGCAAATTGCAACTAGTGTCTGTCCGTATGCCTTTTAGGAGTCCTATAGAGTGCATATATAATTAGCTGTACAGTTGGAATGAAAATATTTTTGAATGAATATTTTCTTAACATTTTCAATTTATGTGCTGCTATTTTAATTTGAGTTATTTTTTTGAAATCACGTTTTAAATAAAGCAGTAATTATAATAAATGAAGAATAGTCATAAATAAAATTTAATATATTTAATTTAAAAATTTTATATAATATCTTTTAGTTTTACTCAGAAACTTTTTATATACTAGATAATATGAATAACAAATTAATTTTAATTTAAATTCAATCAATTTATGTTGTTAAAAATTTCTTCATCATATTCTTCCCCCAAATTGATTCGAATTTCTTTACTTTCGCTTACTAGCGTTCATATTTTCTCACAGTGTAGCTGCAGTGTGCTGCTTTTCATTACAAGTTTTCGTCTAATTGCTGCTACAAATATTTCACTTGTGCAACTAGCATTTTTCAAGAGGATTGTGAATATAATAAAAGTAAACTCTGAGTATTACAAAAGTTGATTTCGTTTGCTTGTGTTGTGAAGACAACATCGAACGTATGGCACCAATTAGAGATTTTACTAGAATTTTGAATTTAGTCATTGTTATCAGAATATCAGATTACAAAGAACAACAGAGTAAAGACACCTCGAATGTGCATTAGCAGCTTTGCTTTAATATATACATACTAGTTAAGCATACATGTTTAATTTACTTGAAATCTATTCGATGAAAGTGGTTTATTAATAACAAACAAAATCGTAATAAATTCAATTTATCATCAGTTGAAAGTGAATTGATTAAGTATATTCCTGAGCTGAACTATGAACAATTTAATTTCTGCTGTGCTGCATGCATACTCCGACCTTCTGCCATAAATAACGAACAGCCAGGGAAAATTGAGTGAGTTGCTGGGCAACTTATGATGCTCGTTCGCTAAGTGAAAAGTGTATAATGGCTTTGTGCAATGGTCGTCATCTTGTTCATCGACCTTCACGTGCGTCATCAGCCCGTCGTGTTATCCACCCACCTGACTCTCCTTCTGTTTTATATGTATATATTACACCTTTTCAAGTTAAACACTTTAAACTCCAATAGTTGAGCTTCAAGTAACATCAAAGAAATTAACCAAAGTTGCTTCAACTGTTTCGTAAATCATGAACATGTATCATGCAGTTGATAACACCCGGCTGAAACATTCGTATTTGTACATTTTGGCAAGTGCTGCCACGGCAGCTAAGCAATCAATTTGTAATGCAACTCGTCTGGGCAATTGGCTGTCTGAAGCCTTCAGTAAATAGGCTGTGCAGCTTTTCCGATTTTCATTGCACATCATTTTATTATTAATCTTGCTCTTGAGCACAGCCTCCAAGTACAATAGAAAAGAAAAGTTCGCTACGGGTTTTCTCTGTTTGTCTTATGTTATTCTCATTCGCATTTTAGGTCAAGTTCAATTGGCAACATTAATTCTAAAGGACTTGGCACTTGGATGCGGCACAAGTTCAAATAAATTGAATGCCTCGTAGCACTAAGTGAGCGTGGCGCCGCCCGACCCCACCCCTCAATAGCTAATTGCAGTCCCGCCGATCCACGCTCGATGCGAAATCTATTTGAATTTGTAACAAGCTGATGCGTTGTCTGTTCGCATAATTAAAATATTTTCATGAGTGATTCATGTGCGGGTGCAACACGAACAAGATGCGTAGATGTCGCGGCATGCATAAAATAATGCACTCAAATGAGTAGGGGGCGGTGGAGGCGTGGCAATGTGTGGGCGTACGGCATGAAAATAGATGTGCTCCAAAATAAGCTGCAGCTGGCTATCGAGCACAAGGACACTTATTCTTGTTGTTGTTGTTGTTGTTGTTGCTGCTGTAATGTGTGGTCAGCCAAGTGCAGCATCTGAATAATTTGTTATGCCACGCCCGCCACAGGCAGCCTGCCAGCCTAGAAAATCAATGGAAATCTGCATAACAAGCGCCCCAGCATGTTGGAAACCCATATTTGAACAGCAAAGCGAAAAAGATGGAGTGTAAAATAAACAATAGACATTACCAGGCAGCGGGTTGGGCTAGACGCGGCCGGCTGCATAGAAATGGCATTTATCACACAATTTGCACGTATAATTAATTAGTTTTTACGCTCGAGTCAAAATAAAACCGGAATTCCGCATTCCACATTCAAATTCAATTTCAATTTGAATTTCATAAAGCAAAAGCGTCAGCAAGAAACTGTTAAGTGCTAGCAGGAGCAAAGCGAGGGAAAGAGAGACAGAGAGAGACTGAGTGAGAGAGAGAGAGAGGTGCCGAGGCAAAGGATGTGCCGGCATGTCCTTCAATTTCAATTTCAACTCAAGTCACTAGAGAAGGATTGGGGAAGAGTGTGTGAGGGTGGCACATAAAATGCTGTACAACAACATTGAATAAATGAGAACGCGGACCCAGCGTTTGAGAACCATAAGTTGAGCAAAATAACTGAGCGAAAGCTGACGACAAAAAGAGACTCTGTCATTATAAAATCATGAATAAAATCGAACAAAAATATATACATAAATATATAATATCAAACATAAAGTATTATTTATTTTAAATATATAAAATAATATAGGGCTTTATTTTTATTTTTGAAAATAAATTTAACTAATTTAATATAAATTTGTATGCAATTTAATTCACGCCTTATCTAACTTGAAATTTTTGTGAAGGCGAAAGAAATTAAATAAACAGTTATTTTTACTTACTTTAATTTAATTGAAAACTAAAATTATTTTATATAATCATTCTAAGTTTCAATTTAAATTTAAGTATTTGAATAGATTAAATTTCTTAATCTAGTTTTACAAAATATTCATTTTAATTGTTATTTATTTCTTTCATTTAGATTTCATTTAAAACTTTTTTTTTTTTTTTTAATATTTATTTCTCTTTCTCTCCATATGTTTAATTAATGTTTAAAATTTGCTTTTATTTTAAACATTTAAACGTGCACTATTTTTTTATATTTTAAATATTTGTTTCTCTTCTTCTCCTCATTTTATTTAATGCTTAAAACTAGCTTTTTTATAAAAATATTTCGAAAAACGCTTAGACCATTTTTTTAACGTGCACTTTACTTATTACATGACCATAATATCTTTAAACACATTCTTCTTAGCCGTAGCACGCACTTAGCACAGATAGCTCACGTTAGCCATAACTAAATTATTAGACATTATATAAATTCTACCTCCCACACACACACAC